AACGGAGAATATTTGAGCGACCTATAATTTGCTGACACCGTTTTAGTAATATCAGTGTCATCAGATGACTTATAGGAAATACCAAATGCAAAAATTGCTTAGATCTAAAAGGATAAGAAATTGTGGCGAGCTATGGTTGCCTATGTCTTGAAAGAACACGGCACACAAAAGAAAAAGGGTGATTTGGGGAAACGTATTAAAAATCCAATGAGACATTGAAAATTGGGAAAATTCTGTAACAACTCCTATCAAAAGAGGCGACAGAAAATGTGATATATAGATCTGTTGGTGTATAAACAGACAATGCAAGCTTCGCCCAAGGTTTCCACCAACCGCCAATGACAACCCGACGTTGCATTTCGATTCTTGATGAACACCGAAAGCAGGAAAAGGGACCGTTGCAAGCTCACAATATAACAGGATGAAAGACAAATACCACGTCGAGAAAATAAGAACAGAGACCTGTTTACCTTATCATATACAAATGTTTATTTCGAGAAATGTGTTACATGTCCGGTAAGACATGGCAAACATGTGAAATATTTGAATAAGGAAATTCTCTAAAATCTCCACACAATCAAACGATAGATCGCAAATGCTGTTCATCCGAGATATGGTTGTGTAGTTCAAGCCACAGGAAAATGGGGAAAAAATGTAGTGCATTCAATAATTCTTATTATGCATTTTCTTATTGCCATTGTGCAGGAGCTGCATTCGCTGGTTCCCAGACTTCGTGGGTTCAAGCGCCCTACTAGGCTGGCATCCCGCTCTCACCCTTTCACTGTCGAAACTCCTAAATGTAGCCGTTTCTTCTACTCCAATAGCTTCATGTCTCGCACCTCTCGCCTGTGGAACTCCCTTCCCTATTCCAGTTTCCCTGAGAGCTATAATCTCCAGCTATTCAAATGTAATGTCAATCGACATCTCTATCCACTACTCTTCTCCTCATCCTTTCTTCTATCACTCCTATCTGATCTTCTGTAACCCCTTGCTTCTTAGTGGCTTCTCGCCTTGCTTGGGGTGAAACGCTTAAAAAAAAAAAAAAAATTTAACTGTTTAATCTACAAGTCGTGCTTCTGTTTCATACGGCATCACCGTTTGGTGAGCCTGCTGCTCGGTAGCGGACAGTAGGGCCCTCCAGAGGGTTACAGATGTTGCCTAGAAAATAACCGGCTACCCGCTGCCCTTCTTGGAGCACATTTCTAATTCTCGATGTCAGAAAAAAAAAACATAATGAAAGACAGCACGCATCCCGAGTACTAGGCGTTTGATCTTTTAACCCCAGGGCGACGACTTAGTTCTATTTTGTTCTCGGACAAAAGCGCTTGACGGACAGCTTTAATCCTTGGACCCTGTGTAAAATGAATGTTGGCGATTTTAAAGTATTTTAAACGCTATCGCTTTTTTTCATTCGATATTGTGTACGTGAATGTTTGTGTGTATTTTTGCCCGTGTGTGCCTTGGTGCATCTGGGAACTGCCATCTTATTTCATTGTGCTTTGCACAGTGACAAGAAGAAATAATTTTTTTAAAAATAAATAATAAATCAATAAAGGAATAAAATTTTTCTCGAAGATTTTGCCAAAGCCACTTAAATTCTATGCTAGGAAGGTTGTTCTTTATATGCGGGGCGGTTTTTTTTTTTTTTTGTAAAAAAAAAAAAAAATTAATTTAACAAATTTTCTTTTTATTAAAACACAACCAAAAATATTCTTCAAGGACTTAGCATCCATAATAAAAAAAAAGGATAAAATGCCTTGTCATTCCGATCACAATAAAATGTACTTCTTCCATATAATACATAGAATATAGTATATATCGTACAATATAGTATTTCTTCATATTTGCGGAAAAGTTCAAGTAATGAAAAACACATATAAAGACATACACACACATATATATATACATACATATACACATACAACTTTTAATATATTTTTTGTTTATACGCTATTTTTATGCATACAAATACTTAAGTAAATGCTCTGTTAATAATAACTGTAGTTCAAAAAAACAGTAATTTAACCTTGCCAACCAGTCGCTTCCTCTGTCGCTATATAGTATAGCACGACAGACTATATGGCGGTTCCGTGTAGTATACAGGTTCGATTCCTGTCGGAAGACGCAAATTTTTCTTCGAGATCTCTCGGACATTCAGGTCGGTAAATAGTGTTTGTTATAAACAGAGAATTTGCTTAAATATTTGTATCTATAAAAATAACGGATAAACAAAAATATATAAAATCATTGTTGGACTTTAGTCCGATTCACAATATACACATACATATATATATATATATATATATATATATATATATATATATATATATATATATATATATATATATATATATAATTAAAATTATAATTTAAGCTCTACTTCTGTATGGAGCACTGTTTTTAAAAACAAAAATGCTAAAGAATCCCGGATTATTTGCCTAACGTGTTTTTTCCTATTCTTCTACATATTTGCATAGCACTATTCTGTAAAAATAAAAATATCTATAAGAACACCGGATTATATATCTTACTGTTCTTCCTTATATATTATCCACAAATACACAGACCCGTCTGTATGTACCGTCATATATAACAAAACAAATGGAAACGAATTTACTCGGTTTGTTGATAGAATATATAAGTCTGGACAAGACGTCATTTTTGCGTGCAGTTCGATATATACATACATATATATATATATATATATATATATATATCGAGAGAGAGAGAGAGAGAGAGACAAAGACAGAAACAGAGACAGACAAACAGACAGTGAGAGAGACCTGCAGGCAAGAATGATATATACCGTTGATACGTTATTTTTATGTATACAACTTATTTGAGTAAATGCTCTGTTTTCAATTAATCGGTATTAATTACATTTACCGGCCTGAAGGTTCGAGAAACTTCATAGAAAATATGAGTTCTTCGACAGGAATCGAACCTGAATCTGATATGGAAACCGTCATTTGGCCCGACATGTTGTTAATCATTCAGAAACAGAGAATTTTCCGGTTGATAACGAACTCAGCGAGCTGATTATTCGTTCCAAGCCGCTAACCATTCTTCCACCGTGTGTGTATATATATATATATATATATATATATATATATATATATATATATATATATATATATATATATATATATATATATATATATATATATATGAATATATTATATGAACTTTTATATTGCTGACTATAAAGCAAGCCTATACTCTCCGATTTTATGTAATTTCCTCGCTAACGAAACCTGTACCTGATAATTCCTCTTGGCCTGATTTCACTCAGACATCTCTTCGTTAATGACTTCCGGTTATAATCTCTTTAATTGTACTGCCAAGTTCCGTGTCTGTTGTTGACAGGAGAAAAGTCCATTGACAACTTTCTTTGATTATCGGCAAAATTTCAAGTACGGTAATGTTCTGAGAGATGGTCTTTTGAAGTTTGTTAATTGTTTCAACTAAAGAAGTAATCAGATTGACCTACACGAATTACCGGGACAAAATACAGAGGGGGCATTAACTAATTCATATATATATATATATATATATATATATATATATATATATGAATTAGTTATATATATACATAGAGAGAGAGAGAGAGAGAGAGATATGCAAGTAATAAAATATATGTAAGGATGAACGGATAGAAAGTAGTTTTATACTCATAAATTTAAATATATTTAGATGAGATATGAATGTAGGCAGCTACACAGGTATTAACAGACTGAAATACACACACACACACACACACACACATATATATATATATATATGCAGGGTGCGATGGATAAATTGTCGTTTAAATTACGCTGAAATGAGAACAATATCTCATTTTAACAGATATATTTACCAATATTACACAAAAATATCTTGAAATACTAAGGAGTAAATTTATTCAATAAAGTCAACATTGGCTTCAACCACGGCTTCCAGACTCGACTTCGATATCTCTTGCAACACTTCTAGACTTTCTTCTCGTTCGTGAATGCTGCCATAATCCTGGCCTTCAGTTCATCTTTGGTTTTTCCAATAAGTTTTTTGGTCTCTCGCTCAACTGCGCCCCGTACATCATAATCAAGGGGGGTGCAGTCTAAGAAGTTAGGTGGCCAGATGTAAGGGATGATGTGGTCGCAGAAATTGTCTAACAGCCATGACTGGGTTCTCCTGCTTGTGTGGAATAGTGCCGAGTTCTGTCGTGTCTTCAAGCAGCTACCCTCTTGACCCAGAGTAGCACTACCTGATCAATGCACTTGATGTAGGCCCCCATAAAGCCCTCTGGGAAGATGAATGGAGGCATAACGCCGCCATCACTCGTGATCAGTCTAAACACCATGATGCTCTTTGGATATATCATATAAATGTTTCCGAATCCTCTGACACCCAAACACACTGAAGTGTTCGTATTGGAGCTTCCGGCGCAAATGTCACGCATTACAGAATGTCGTTTCCAAATTTCTGAAGAAGTGAATTGCGTCATGATGCTCTTTTTCTCACAGAAGCTACTCAACTGACCCTGCTATACTAGGCAGTCAACAAAATCAAAAACAAACAACGCGCATGCGCGAAATTAAAAATATAAAATGGTGATAATTTACCCATCGCACTCTGTATATATATATATATGTGTGTGTGTGTGTGTGTGTGTTTATTTTGCCTTGCTTTTTAAGTCTGACGATTGCATTCAAATATAAAACAGACTGTCGCCATTAAGTTGTGATACCGATGTCTACACTTTATATATATATATATATATATATATATATATATATATATATATATATATATATATGAGAGAGAGAGAGAGAGAGAGAGAGAGAGACTCATCGTAAACTTTATACTTTATTGGCGACCGGATTGGATACCCTTTTCCTTTTGGAACCGCTTAAAAATTTTGGCATGGATTCAACGATATTCTGGAAGCGATCTTTCGCAAGTTGCGTCCATTCTGTTATGGCACTCTGCAATCTATGTCTTTGTCTATCTCTATTCAGATCTACTTCTATATCTATCTATCTATCTGTCTGGCCAGATGTACCTAACTCTATCCAGATCTATCTATTTCATTATATTCATATCTATCTATCTATCTATCTATCTATCTATCTATCTATCTATCTATCTATCTATCCAGATGTACCTCACTCTATCCAGATCTATCTATCTATTTCATTATATTCATATCTATCTATGTATTTATCTATCTATCTATCTATCTATCTATCTATCTATCTATCTATCTATCTATCTATCTATCTATCTATCTGTCTGTGCAGATGTACCTGACTCTATCCAGATCTATCTATCTATTTCATTATATTCATATCTATCTATCTATCTATCTATCTATCTATCTATCTATCTATCTATATGTACCTCACTCTATCCAGATCTATCTATCTATTTCATTATATTCATATCTATCTATCTATCTATCTATCTATCTATCTATCTATCTATCTATCTGTCCAGATGTACCTCACTCTATCCAGATCTATCTATCTATTTCATTATATTCATATCTATCTATCTATCTATCTATCTATCTATCTATCTATCTATCTATCTGTCTGTCCAGATGTACCTCACTCTATCCAGATCTATCTATCTATTTCATTATATTCATATCTATCTATCTATCTATCTATCTATCTATCTATCTATCTATCTATCTATCTGTCTGTCCAGATGTACCTCCTATCCAGATCTATCTATCTATTTCATTATATTCATATCTATCTATCTATCTATCTATCTATCTATCTATCTATCTGTCTGTCTGTCCAGATGTACCTCACTCTATCCAGATCTATCTATCTATTTCATTATATTCATATCTATCTATCTATCTATCTATCTATCTATCTATCTATCTATCTATCTGTCTGTCCAGATGTACCTCACTCTATCCAGATCTATCTATCTATTTCATTATATTCATATCTATCTATGTATTTATCTATATCTATCTATCTATCTATCTATCTATCTATCTATCTATCTGTCCAGATGTACCTCACTCTATCCAGATCTATCTATCTATTTCATTATATTCATATCTATCTATGTATTTATCTATATCTATCTATCTATCTATCTATCTATCTCGAGTGCCTTATACTTTGCCCTGTCTTTCATTATGAACTTCTCTGTATTTATCTATGTAGTATAATATATATATATATATATATATATATATATATATATATATATATATATATATACATATGTGGGAAGGCCGAAGCCGGAAAGTGTTCCACAAGCAAGAAGTGCGACAAAAAGAAAGTATCAGCATAGAATTTACATTTACGTATAACTATTTTAATTATAAAATAATAGGAACTTGCTGCCAATCTAGTACTGAGATTAAGTTCATAAAGTCTGGGTATCATCACGGCAATTACCATGAAAATCAACTACTTCAAATTTTCTTTGGCGCATCCATTTCAAAATCCTCTTCAACGCCACAGAGAACTTTCAACCTAGAAATACCTGATTATCTTACTACACTTTATCATTGCTATGGTACCTAGACGTTTTTTTTTTAATTTAAGCGCAGTACTAGATTGGCTTCTAAGATCATTTTAGAGTCGAAACATGTAGCCATTAAATTCTATGCTAACAGTTTACTTGACTTTGAATATGTATTTCTGAATGTTTTCTTTATTGGTTTTTAGTGACAGATGAAGTTCGTCTTCTTTTATTTAATCACAATTTTTCAAAATGTGGATAAGAAATACAAATGATACCGCAATATTTGTAAAAATTACAGCAATATCGAAAATAAACAAAAGTTAACGGACTACGGGAGATAACTCAAAATATAAAATTAAGAGTTATTTCCCCTGATCAATCAAAAATAACATGAGGTTAAACAAATAAGATAAAGTAATAAAATTAGTCGTTTCTATACAGGAAACAGTCCACATTTATTAACCAAACCAGCGTTTCTAAACCGGGCACTAATTCGCCCTGAAAGAAAGACAGGTGAGACCCAAGTTATCAGAAGATTAATTTATGAATTATTTTATATTTGAAAAAAAATTTTTTAAAGAAAAGTTAGAGACACCAAGCACATAGATTCTGTCTAAGACGTTGTCATTTGATATTTTAAACTGGATGTAAAATTCCTTAATCGTTACGATAAGTAGTGGATAATCCTTTCCTTTTTGCCTTCCTCGATGTATAACATATAAGGCTTAACATTCAGAAGATTACCAAAGCATATCAAGCACAGATTTCACATAAGGATACTTAAATATGTAATTAAGGTCCCTCTGTAGGAATCCTTCTGCTCGGTTTTTCGTTTAATGTTAAAATTCACAGTGTCGGGATTCGATACAATAACAAAATCTCGCTGCGGAGTCGCTCGTAATTTGGGCCGTTTAGACCTAGAGAAATCACACGAATTTCATTGAAAGAATAAAATTCAGTAGAGAAGACAACGTGGTTTCAACAAATAAACATTAATTCATTTTAATATAACGACAAGAATACAAGAAGTTCTTGATAGATTGGAAAATAATGTCTTTTTGTTTGGGTTGATAAAGTTCTGAAATAAAATATAAATTCACTTTGTGTACGTATGTGAGAAACAATGAAATGTTGTTATATGTGTGTTTGTATGAAAAAGTCAATACATATTTGCGTGGTTCATAGTAAAGACGATACAAGAGATAATTAGAAATTGTTTCTTACTGTTGGCGGTGTTGCCGTAGTCTGAAATTTGTCAACGCTGTCGCTTTTAGCATGAGATCGTGAAGATCATAAGTGAGAGTTGCATGGAGTTTGTTGACAGTTAGTTGTGTGTATCCTTGTTTGGGACAGGATTTCGTATGTTTTTATACACTTTTTCGTAACAAAATCGGCTGCAGAATTAAATTATTTATTTATTCCTAATTGACCCTAAAAAGCCACGTGGTATGTCTTCTACTACGTCCGCACGATATTTGGGCGGAATCTACCTAAATCATGATGACTAAATACAACAAAATTTCTGATTTTTATTCTATTATTTTTTTTTTTTTTTTAGCGTTCCACTTCAGTTTTAAAATTTTTCTCAACAAATCATTGGTTAAAAAATAATGCAATGCAATTACTATATCTTCTTAAAAAAGAGAAAATTTTGTGCAAAAAGTGGATCAAACAGATCTTGCTATTTTTCTAATCGCTGATTGGCTGAATAACAATATGAAAGACGCCTACGCAATCAGTTTTTTTTTCCGCCAATATTTTTGAACGGTAGGCTGGAGCCTGTCATATGACAGACAACTAAATAAATAAGGAGCGCGAACCTATCCCATCAAAAGTTGAGATACGTTGAGATACAGACTCGACGTCTGTCGAACTCTCTGCTTTGGCAGAGAGGAACCCAGACGAAGCTTTGCCGAAGGGCAAGGTTTCGTCCGGGGAGGTAGACAGGGCCTGAACCCGTCTAGGCGGGTTCAAGGGCTATATTTTTGGCCGAGCCTACGGGCTCGGGGATACCCACTTTAAACTCGGCCTTGTGCCACATATATTCCCCGTAGGTGGAATATTAAATACTGAAACAAAAAGAAAGTCAACCAGACACATCGGTGCCACGCTAAAGAAATTTAACTTAGAGATTACAATTTTTCACAGTTCCTCACCAGCAAGAAATTACTTAAAAGAAAAGTTTTTTCCTGAAGCTACAAGTTTACCGAAAACATTTTCAGCTCTTCGGGACATAATCCAAGAAACATTCTCACTCAGTTCTATTTATCAAAATTTGCTCTTGGTGAACATTTCTTTTATCATAATTATTTTCAGAAGTACAAAAAGTAAATTTTATTTAGTATCAAGTACAAACTTCTTGAAACATCAAGTAAATATTCAAAGTTCTATTTTACCAATCTCACAATATTCATATTACACGAAACATTTAACTAATTCACAAAGAACATTTCTTCTAAAAAAAACAAACTCCTTTCATTGTGAGACCTGATAAAAAAAATTCTTTATTTCAAAGAACAATTTTTAAATAATTAATTTCCTACTTAATGGCAAGCAACTCTTATTTTTATATTGTAAAATTTCTGTACCAAAAAAACATTTTGAAGGAACATTTTAAATATTTTTATTCGTTCAATTGATATTACTTAAATTCGAAACTCAACTAATATTGTGAGTAGTTTATTCTTAATAATTGTATTAGTTGTATATATTTTGTTATTGTTTTACGTATGTTGTCATCTTTTGATTGCCTTGTTGGCCTTGTGCCATACATAAAAAATTAAATGCTTGTGGAGGAGTGAAGTTTTTCACACGCAGCTGACCTTATGTAACTAAAAAGACTTCTGATCATTTTTCAAACTTATTTGACCTTCTCCGCAACAATTTTATTGGTGTGTTTTAATATGTAAGTGTTTTTTTGAGTGTGATTGGTTAATAAATATTGTATTTGATATTTTACTGGACACGATACATCCACAGAAACGTGATACCTAAGGTTTAAAATATTTTTTAAATGAAAAATCTGTCTTGAAGCGTTTATTTTATTTACTTTTAATTTCAAGTTAATAGATTAAATGTAATATTTCCAATAAGCAAAATAACTTGCTGTGTTTCAAAACTAATTTTTAATTTAACTGGAGGTAGTTTTTTTTTAATTGCTAAAAACGATGATTTTGGCGCCATTTTTAGCCATCTATCAGCAGAATACAATTCTCTTTATTAAAATTTTTTCAAAAATAAAATATACTTTTCTGAAACTTTATTTGAGGAATATTAGCTGATTTAAAGTTTAATTAATTTGATATAAAACATATTACTTACTTTTAGATTAAAATATCGCAGAAATGCATTTATTTTTAACAGGGAGGTTGACAGACTGAAGTTTTTAAAATATTTTTCTACAGAGGACATATCTGTAAAAATGACTTAAAGAATATAACGTAAGCGGTTGTTTTATATAATTTTTTAACTACCCAGTAATCTTGAAAATTTAGGAAACTGTTCTCCGTAACCTAATGTTTTATTGAATTTTAGGTACGATGGCTTTTAATTTGCAATAATTATCGCTCTTATTTTCTGATAATGTCATGTATGGATGTCCGTATTTAAAAATGTATGTATATATAAATAAAAAGAAAGAACAGTAAGATATATAATCCGGTGTTCTTATTGATATTTTTTTTTTTTTTTACAAAACAGTGCTCAATGTAAGTTTACAGAGCATAAATATTATAAATTAACTGATTTTAAATATGGTTTTTTTCGCTACACAGTAATAACCATGTTTCAAATACTGAAGCTAAAAACTTCAAATTTAATTATATAATTAAATTAAAAGCATTAGTTCCGTTTCATCTTCAAGTGAATATTGGAATAAATTATTTTTAAATTTACTGTGTTTTAAACGCACACATAAATTTATAATTTCCTGTTTCCAAGGATACAGAGAAATCCAATCATTCAGACAGGGGCGGTAGAGTGTTCATTTTTATTAACTATTGTTGTATCAATTATGAGTTACGTTCGTAAAAAAGGTTAAGTTTAGGGAGGGTAGGGGTGTATTTTTCAACGAATTCTGACATCCGTTAAATGCATGTCGTCTGGTTTTTTTGGTTTTTTTATTAACGGCAAAAAGTTTTTCGGTATTTTTTCGTACTTGTATACTTAAAAATTCTTTCTTAGGGTGTTTGGGTTAGAATACTTTTTATTTAACTACAATTCTAAAATATTTTTACTCTTAATTACTAATAGACTATATTTCTTTTTAAAACAATTAAACGTAATAGAATTAGTTAAATTATTTAAAATTACTTTTTCTTATCAAATATAAGTATGCATATTACCAGCTCTCATTTTTAAATTTTATTTTTAAATAAGGAAAATTTTTGACAATGACGGCAAAAAATAGCTATTTCATTTCTCTGATTCAGTAATTTTTTTATTTTTTATAAACTTAGTAATATATAGTTTCTCATGTGGCCACAAAGGACATGGGTCATTTAATGTCCTACAAATTCTAGCTTTTCTTATTAATTTCCATTTTACTGTAGGTGTTTTATTGGATTTTTTAAGTGCCAGAAATATTTTGAAAGGGATGTCTGATTTCTGTATTTATTTATCCTAAATAAAGTTTGATGTTGAATGAATCTCTTTTTGAACTCATGGCTTGTGCAACCTATATAGATTTTTATGTTTTCG